TGCGTACGCGGCGCGCAGCGCGTAATCGCGTCAGGGCAGTTGTTCCACGCGTCACCGGCCGTGCCACTCAAAGCCCTAAGGGCGAGGAGGCATAGGTAGCACGCTGCATTCACTCTCCAGAGAGGCTATTTTTACTCGTATATTCATGAAAAGAGAACTACTGAACACGCTTAACTTCGCAGAGTACGAAAACACTCGAAATATGATTCTATGAAAGTATTTTTTAAATACTATAGATCTCTGTTGCAGTCACGATTTTGAAGGTACAAATTATATACACCATAAAATATAATAATATAAATAAGTACTTTTGAGATGACGATTTTCCGGAATGTTTAACAATTTTTTTGTTTGTTTTCCTGTAATATTCGCACGACAGAATATACATTCGTCATTCAAAATAATATGCTAAGAAAATGACTGGTACGAATATTTCAGATTCTGCAGGAAAGCTGAAATTGATTTTTATTGATATTAAAAAATGAAGTCACATAGTATTTACTATTCTTAAAGTATGTTTTAAGAGAAATCCCTCAAATTGTACAGTTAATACCATGATAGCGGATTCTAGTTCTGGAATTAACATTATCCGCCAACCCGACGTACTCATTGAGGTAAATAGTATTTCCCCCCCTTCAAATTGGTCTAAATAACAACTTCTTTTATTTTTGATTAATATATTAAATTTTAATAAGCTGGAGAAATAACAGAATATGCAAACTTTTGTATTGGAAAAAAATTCAAAAGAATATTCCTTCGTTGCCTCACCAAAACTCGAGTTATGCCCACTGCATGTAGTGAATGTCACAGCTAGATACTAAAATAGAATTCCAAATTGGGAACAGTATCTGCCACTGTTTCAAATGACCATCGTGAATGCCGCTTAGACCCAAAAATAATCTCACATGATCAGGAAATCCTCCCAAATGCTACAAATAGGAACTATTGAGAAACAATTGAAAATGCTACATTTATCCTCGCATCTGCAGTAGCCGATAGCCGACCGGCAAGTTATAATTCCTCTGCAATCATTTCATTATCTACCTTCTGCAGCCATCCTCGTGCGCAGTCAGTCATCATCACAAATCCGCACACGCGCCCAATTAGCCGCAACAGATGTGCCCGCACGATAACACTACGCGAACAGAATAAAACAGATGTGTGGAGACAGAATGGCGAGTTTGCGTCGCCATTCTGTCTCCACACATCTGCTCATTAATGAATGGGCGCTTCTGGCAAGCACGACTGGCGTACTCCACGCAAAATGATGGAAACATTGTATTTGAATTTAGCCATTATATGTCCGTAATAGGCAACTGGCCTCGGCGCCGTTCCAACTCGGAATTCCTAGCCAATCAGGAATTCGCGATATCTCGAATCAGCTCAGCCTTCGTGGCTTCACATAGTTAATCAAATTGGCTAGCGACGCCGGTTTCGCGGTCGTGTCGTTTGAGTAGATCTATCCCTGCCTTCTCCTAGACGACCGAGGAAAACCACGAAAATTTCGACAAGGATGATCGGCAGAGGAATTGAAGCAGAGCATCCCGAATGCGAAGTTAGCGCGCTACACCCTGAACCACTTTGCTCGATAAATAAGAGAAGGCTAGTCATAAAAGAGTTTCTCACTTCGCCTACATGAATGGTTTGTTGGTCTCTGCATGAACGTTGCACATGACATCAGTGAAGTGAGACAATTATTTGCTATGCTTTTAGTATAGAAAGGGCCTTGAGTGTATTTCGGAATAATCATTGTATTCCAAAAACAGTTGAGGTATTTTCAAAATTATACAAGGCGACAGACTAAAAACGTGCTTACCGTAAAACACATATAAATAAAAATACCATAATATTATTATTGTCACGAAGATAATGCCAATTTTTTAAAATTTTATGATACAGAAACACATGAAACTCAAAATGCCTTATAATAATAATGTCAATCAGAAACTTTAATTGGGTGCGAACTAAAAGTATTTCCGTAACCATTTGTACCCATTTCACGACTGCACAATGCTAACCACCCCCGCAATGCCAGTCCCTCATCAAGAGCCGAGTTGCAGTGGCTGTACCTCGCTGACACAGCGTGACCGCCGGCTGGCGTGGTTTGACGACGCCGGGGTGGCGAGGGCGTGGGCGAGCGCGCGCGACAGCGACAAATGGGGTCAATCATCGCCCACCAGACGTGTCACGTCGCCCAACCGCCACCGCCCCCATCGCCACCGACAACCACGCCGCCCCCGCCCCCGTCTGCCCGCCGCCACCACCCCTGCCACCGCCGCCGCCGCCGCCGGCCCCGCCCCCTTTCTCTCCGGGCGCGAGACAAATTCGCCAGCGTTGAGCGGCCGCACTTTATCGAGGCCGCAATGGGCCGAATCCGCGGGCGGCCGCGCGCGCAATGGGGCGATTTGCAGCTGCACGGGCGGTGGCGCAGCCCAAATGGCGGCAGCGCTCGCGCCCGCGGCTTCCTCCCGCCAGCCCACCCCTCTGACTGCCCGCCGGCTCACCGGCTCAGCTCCGTGCCGCCCCCGCATGCACGAAGTCACCCCACCCCCCAATTAGGGCGGTGGAGGTTTCCGTGGGCTGTAGCAATAGCCCCAGAAGAACCGGGGATTACGAGGGTTATTGCAGCGTTCCCATCCGAAGGTTAAGCCATTCCTTTGACATTTCTACAAAATCACCGGAGTTGTTTGAGTCAAAAGTTACTGTCATTTGTCCAGCGTATTGTATCGGGCACAATATATCATACGAATGATGTTGAGTGAGCATTCATTGTTCTACCGTCCTATTGAAAGGTTTGAATCCTATGTTAAGGATCATTTTTCTGTTCTAATACTGAAATAACCGAGGCAGGTACATGGGGCACGGTTTCAGATCCTTTGTTAAGCGTTTCTTTTTTTGGTATCTTTCATAGCAATAGCTGAAGTCCTTTGATATCTGAAAGAGATGGAGCACTTTCCGAGGTCAAATAAATAGAACAGTTCTTTTTACCTATTTCAATTCCCGCACCGGAACGATACTCCTTAAGAATACTTCGAAAGTAAGGGTTAACTTTTTGTATTGTGTCTATTCTCACTGAAATTACTGCACATCAAAGTTTCTTTGTCACACTTCCTTAATGCACATTTTCCTCGGAATACTTTCGAATCTTTCAAGAAAATTATACTTCCAATATTTATCGTTCTTATAAATAAAGCAATTTCTTGTAGTTTCACGTAGTTCAAGAAGGAAGGGGAAGGAAGAGAGAGAGAAGAGAGAGGGCAGAGAGAGAAGAGAGAGAAGAGAAATAGAGAGAGGATAGAGAGTAAGAGAGAGAGAGAGAGAGAGAGAGAGAGAGACCTATTTCGAGGAGTCCGGAGCCTAAACAGCGCCTGTGTAAACCAAGGCGGGTCGCGTCCGCGACGAAGAACGGGGCCCACATAGGAGGAGACAGGGGAGACAGACAGAGCGGGCGACGCGCGGCGCTGAGACGCGCCTGCGGGGCGGTTGCGGGTGCTTACGAGCGTAAACGCAGCGTCCGGACGCAGCACAATAAAGCGTTCGCTACGGACTTGACTGCCCTACTCTTCACCAAGACAACGGCTGGGGTGAAGGCAGCGGGAGGAGGCAGGAAGGTTTAAAGCTGCGCCAGGCGGGGAGTTAAGTAAACGCTGTTACGTGGGGAGTGCGCGGGTGTTGAGGTAAGAGTGGGGAATATAGGTTAAAGCGGAGCTCGGAATGAAAATGGTGTACGAAAGATCTACGGGGTATGGTGAATAGTGTTTGGATTTAAGAAAGGTGGTTTGGTAGATTTATGAAAGGTGGAAAGGAGGATTGGTTTTGGTGATTGCTGACTGTTTGAAAGCAACGAAAGCTGATAGTTTCGAGCTAGGAACGAAATGGTGTACAAACGATCCGTGGGATAAGGCGAATAGAGTATGGGTTTAAGAAATGTGGGTCCGATTGTATTTGGTGATTGCTGATAGGTTGAAAGCGACACTGTCCAATCGTTTTTCGATCACTGAGGCAGCTGAAAAGCTAGTTGTAGTGGAGTGACTGAAGGACGTCGGATGATGTTAAGTGGACAAAGGACGAAGCAGGTGGCGATGGCAGGGCAATGGCAACCTAATGAAGCGGCGGCAGCACAGCAGAAGTACTATGAAGTCAGGAAAAGTGGAAGGGGTGGACTTCGCAAGGGGGGGAGGTACAGCGGGGAACGTAGGAGTACGATGTGAGACCTTTGCGAAGATGGAGAGGGGAGTGCTGGGGAGGGGATCTACAAGCCAGTAATGTTTCATGTTTCAGATAGTTGCAATAGAAGAGAACGAGTGCCGGAACCGCGCGCAGGGGATGGGGCCGGGAGACGGCACAGCAAACAAACGTAACATAATAACGCGCGGTGAGGGGGAGGGGTCGTAAAAGCTCCTTCTGACGGCGCACTGTGCCCTCGGCCACGCGAAGTACAGTCCACTCCGCTTGCCATTGCACTGGGCGTGTTATTTCGAGCCCACGGTTGTTTCAAAGGCCCATCTAGCTTCCGGGATGTATCGAGGGTGGAACATTCAATTAGCACATTTTGCTCGGGCTTAAGGAATGTACTAACCAGAGTTAGTCGGATGTCGCGAGGAGAATTTAATAGAGACACAATGATTTGTAGAAAGCGTAACAATAAACAGAGTAATTACTCGACGTATTCCAAATATAAACCTATAATGTGGTAGTTTAAGGAGAGGCGGTTGGAAGGCAAATAAATGCCTCGGATAATAACTCGTCTATAACATGAATTTAGACTGCGGATAAAACATAATACTACGTCTACCTAAAGTATCAGGAGGGCAGAAATTCAATAGCAGCGCAGCAGCGAAGAAAGAGGGAGCACCGCAAGGGTCACGAGCGGAGCCCAAGTGCATTAAGAGTAATGAAGAAAAAGTGGCGGCAAATGCGCGGAACGGCGCACGCAGCCGGTTTGCGTGGAAAGCCCAGTAGGCAGCGCTGGCGAGGCGCCAGGGCGCGGGAGGCGTCATCTAGGACGCGGCCGAGCTTAGAGAAACACTATCCGCGCACGGAATCTGGCCTCCTTCACGCATCTCTGCGCGCATCAGGATGCGACGAATAAGAGAGAAACGACGTGCTATTAATCCCCCCCCCCCAACCCTCCGTGGTTTCCGGAAAGCAGAAGCAAACTCGAGAAGCGCCCCTCCCAAAACAAAATGCAATTTTCTAAAAGCCTATTACAATATCTAAATGTAATTGAATAAACGTCAAACGTCGTGAATAACAGTTAAAATCAAAATCTAACATTGATTCACAAACTTTGGTCCTTAAGGATGGGGGACGACGTCAGGCTGACAGCCGGTTGTAAAAATCACAGTCAAATCATAATGGATCGTAGTAAGCGACCCGAAAAAAGCCAAACCCAGCGAACTGAAATGTTAAGATGATGAAATATAACTGAATAAACTTCAGAATTAAAAGCACGTATATTTTTAAAAAAAATATTGACTTGTAAATGACTTGTATCCGAATTTTAAAAAAATGAAATTTTAAGAACGAAGAAGGTAAAAGTGTTAGCGAAATCACTTGAAAGTTAAGTCTTTCGAATCTCGTAACCCGTCCTCTACATGCTAATCATTCTTTCGCTAGAGTATTACGAGTTTTCATATTAATAAATAACATTTTGTCGAGAGGGCGAATCTGAGTTGTACTGTTGTCCCAGAATCATCAATCCCTTTAAGCCTTCAGCGTCACATGCACTCAGATGCTTTTAAAAATAATTTTCTTCCCTTCACCGACTTGATTCATTTTCTGTCGGACACAGTGCCATAGATCTTTCTCGTATACATATTACAATAGAGTAATGATATTTTTGTTAATGAAGTACACGAAGGAATACAGCTATCCAATACCGACAGTAATTTATGTGTCGCAATTATAAGCCTCAATTCTGTCAGGGTAAAATTGTAGAGCTGTGACACTGTCAGTTCAAAGCACTACAATTAATTAAGAATTCACAATGAATTAACTTTATACCGTACCTTTGGGCACGCCCTGAATATAACGCGAATCCCTTCATGGAGCAGAGGGAAATCTATTTCGCAAGTATATTCCATGTCGCATGAAATGCATGGGATATTCGATTTATTAGTAAGGAAAGCAAGCACAAAATAAAGTGAAACTAATTCTCCAATTTCGTACATATTTCGTTATACTTTCTACCCAATATATAAAATTAGTAGAACACAAAATGTATATCATAGCTCAAGTAAACAACAGTACCATCAAGCAAGCATGCAAAGCGAGTTCCAAGCAAGGCAACAACCGACAATGACCACTCAATACACAAACTACACGAAATACACGTATCTTCCGGTGGCAACTTACCTTTTGTCTCCGGGGAGGAGGAGTAGATGTTCGTTGTAGTTGAGGTGGCGACGGTCGTCTCTTTGGTCACGGATCCGTTCTGCTGGGCGCTTCCCTCTTTTTTGGAGTCGCCTGCAACAAGCAACGATATCACGTTATTCCACTTGCGCTGTCATATTATCATACTTTTTGACCCGGCAACCCATGAAGAGTATGGGCCGATCGAGTAGATTTCCTCTCCTCTTTACCGGAAGGGTTTGCACACGTGATGTGTGGTCAGCGCAACGACTCTCTTTAACCCATATCTCGATTAACTATACCGATGATGACACCGAATTTTGGTCACTCCTCAATTTGCACTCACGAGGATGAATGAGCCCCGTTCCAGACCGAATCCTAAGGTGAAAATTTCCCCGGATCGCTGGAGAAACGAATCCCGGACCTCCAGAATTGGACCGCCAAATCGTAGCTAGGCTCGCTAGCCCCGTTCGTTTTTGAATTTCATATCCAAATCTTTTAATAAAGACAGCTACGAAAAACATACATACCCAAACTCCGGGCAATAGTATACTCTCGAGAAACTCCTAACAAATATTAATATTTTGTATGCCTCATTTAAAACACCGACATATAAAAATTGATATAAAATATGATAATATGATTAGAGGAATCAGTATTTGATAGAAAAAAAAAATAATAGATGATCTGTTTTTCAATGGAGTTAATACGCTCTGGACTCTGTTATATTAAATTATTTTTTCCAAATCGAAATTAAGTTCAATAGTTAGGGTGGTGAAGTTAGTTTTTAAACATCACTAAAACCTTGACGCAATTTACATGAATCACCAACTGCCAAATTGATAGAAAAATAATTTAATTTATTAGGAACCGAAATTGAAAACACATCGAAATCACAAAACTGTTTAATTCAAAACAAGTCGAAAAGAAATTATGTAGAATATAATCGTACATTCGTTCAATGTTACTTTGCAATCAATACGTCCGGAAAATATTTTAATGAAATTTACTACAATCAAAGAAGTAACACACTGTAACAAAATTCGTGAAAACGCCTAAAGAAGAGCCACTAAACTCATATGAGCAAAATAAGTTGAATTTAAAGAAATCCTCTGTCATCGTTTTTCAATAGATTTTGCGGTTTATTTGGCTTCCTCGTACGCACATGCAAGCGCAGCTCTCCGTTCGCTTTTTCTCACTAGCACCAAATGAACTCTTCATATCCGTCTACCACTCGAACGAATATTCGCACTGGAATTCAAAAAACATCTGATGCTTTGGCGGTCTTTTCCAGTACAATGCTTATTCTGGCTATACGAGATACCCACTGCTAAGGTTTTTACGGCACATAATCCGCAGAGGGTAGATGTTCCTAACAAGAACATGAAAACAGCAAAAAATTATAATAAAATGTACGAGATTCGGAAAAAGAAATACATATTATACATTGAAAAAAAGGACTGAAATGGAAGAAGAGAAGAAATAATACATGTAGAGCAGGAATGATAAAAAAATATGAAAGATTATCCACGGAAAAAGGCGATATCCCGGAGAAGGAAGAAAACGATGTAAAAAAGACATCACGTTAATCACAGAAAAATTCTGCTAATTACTTGCTTCCAAATAAATTTCAGTATCACATCCCCTGAACAAGATCCATTACTATTCCAAAATCGACGAAAACACCATGCATAACATATGAATATTACTTAGCGATATTGAACACCCCAAATAAATACAAAGAATGACTTTTCACCACAAGGCGAAAAGTAATCCGACCTCCGATAACCGCCCTAAACAGAAAGGGAGGAACAGCTTAAAATAGCCAGAGGAACATCAGAGATCGCAGCAATCGCCCGAAAGCGACAAGGCGTAATTGGTGGTGGAAGCAGGCGTTGGCGGAAGATAAAAAGAGGGCCTGGGGGTGAGCGCGAGCGCGTGCTCACGATTCCATGAGCCAATTGCCCGTCCGGTCGACCGAGCGCCGTGCGTTTGCCACCCCTCCTCCCCCCTCTCTTCGCCAACGCCTGTTGGTCATCCCCGTTCGCACCCCCCTCCCCTCGCTGCTGCTCTGTTTGACGCGTCGTAATAAAAGAGACACGTCAGCCGCCTTGTGCACGTCGCCCCTCTCCCCCCTCCGAGCGTGCGACAGTTCGATAATCGATACGCGACGTTCTCGACCGTCGACTCGGCTCCACCGTCTGGGAAATCATCTCGACGTGCGACTGACACATCTGGTGCGTCTTGAAATATTCACACGGGGTGTAATAAGAGATTCAAAACAGAACAGAAACAGTTTTCAAAAATGTCAAATATAAAAAGGTATAGTAATGACATTAGAGCCATACCAGTGACATCAATTTTGTTTAGTGTCTGTTGTTTAGTGCATATTTTATAAAGATTAACAATTTCAAATTAAACTAAATTATAAGAGTTCATATTACAATATTAAATATCGCTTTATTCAAGGAATTCAGATATTTTGCTCTCATCACGTCTGAACTAATTTGAACATCCAAAATACTTCCAAAAATTACAGCAAGCGTGTAGAATGGGGTATGAGCTGAGGTGGCTCAGGGGAACTACTGGTGCCACTGCAATGCCTCTCACCCCGAGGCCCTAGAGTTCGAATCGGCGGCGAATCTTCAGCAAGCCGAGTTTCAGAGGGTCGAGTTCAGAGGACAATTCTAGCAGCCGGCTGCTCTGATAGATAGTTTTCCGTAGTTTCTCCAATCAATACCAGGAGAATGACGAGCAATATCCTAAGAAACGGGCCACAGACTGTACGGGATCTTTCCCCTCTGTTGTCCTATTCTGACTGCATTCTTATTACACACATATTTATACTGAGATGCAACATACTGTCACACTTGTTTGGAGATTAGGATATGGCTGGTCGAAGATACCTAGATGGGAAAACCCCGCAAGCTGATTTGTAGGTCGGCGCAGATCTCGTCATCCAGCCGAGAAAGGACGTCGTCTCCCGTTATTAAACATGTACTATACTTATGGGACTATGTTAGATGTCCGGAGATACGAAATAATTAATCGACAAAATGAGCTAAATAGCATCGCTTATAACGAACATTCGCTGTGGCGACAGAATGGTGCACAAAAGGATTTCACTAATCGGGTTATTTTGAATGGCATTTCAGGTAATCCACTTACGCGGATGATCCTACACACGAAAACAACCACACATCTAGACTACTCAATTGCTTTGCACAATGTACACATTAGTATAATCCAGCGCATTCACAGTTACAGATTCACATTTTTCTGTTCAACTGGGCTTACGAATCTAAACAGATCAATTTCCATATTTCAATGTGATTTTCCTCTTGAGTATATACTTTCAAATGCCTGTCATTCAAAAAGAGAGCGAAACACGTAGCTCTGATTAGGTGAGGACAAACAAGTAACATTAACACTAACGTCCATTAAAGAGAAAAAAAACTGCAAAAGAAAATACGTAAAAAAATATAATCGTGTAAAAATGTCCGAAAACATAGAATACTTCTGTTCGTATGAAACTAGAATGTGAACGTAAACAAACTGTAGTCACATCCTCACATTGGTTTCATTCTCAAATAGGTTTCATGAATAGGTGTATAATTAAGAAAAGCTATTTCAAATTAAAGACGTAGTAATAGTCGCTAAGTAATCGCTTAGTAATGGTCTTGATGCAAACATATTATTCCTGGTGAGAATAAAAAAAAACGAATCATTAATCAAATTATATACCAGTTCATTGATTTTTTAATAATGAAATTTCCAATTTCATTTAATTGTATTTTTTTTAAATATGCAGGCATCCTTGAAGCCTGCAAATAGCCTATAAGCTTCGCCGACTCCGGCCGTGTCCTCCTTGCGCTTTTCCCGCAGGTATGCAAGTTCCTGATGCGCGGTCTCCGCCGGGAGAGGAAAAGTTGCCAAAAGTTGGAAAAAATTTGCGTAAAGTCCAAGGTAAAAGTTGATGCGCTCTCCGGGTTAAAAGATGCTGAAGAGAGACGGAGGTAGGGGAACGGCAGGGGTAGGGGGTCATGGAGTTGGCGACGGCTGTGGAAACTGCATACATTAGAGGTGTCAGGAGAGACTTTCAGGGAGCTTGGTGATAGCAGGAGCAAGACCGGGGGGTCGGCAATGGTGGGAATGGTGTGGACAGAGAGAGAGAGAGAGAGAGAGAGAGAGAGACGGTTGGGGAGGGAAGGAAGCGATGAACAGGAAAACAGACGAGACCGGTAGAGGGTCGGGGACGGAGGAGGAGAAAACGAAAACGGTGAAACGGTAATTTTGATCCAGAGACGAAAGGGAAGACGATGGTGGAGGCGGAAGAAAAAGAAGGGGCAGGAAGGGATGAAGACAACTAGTCGCGGACAGGAAATTGCACGGGCGGGGATGAATAAGTGGGCGGCTAGAAGAATGGACACCGTGAGATAGAAGACCACGGAACCAAAACAAAGAGGATGGAAAATGTGGGGACTGGTGCGCGAGCGAAGAGGAGAGCGTGAGTGGAGAGTGAGGGGTTGAGGGCTTAGGGAAGGGTCTGAAGGCCGCTCCACACAAGCGGCATTCGACGAATCCCGAGCAACCGCTCGTCGAATCCCGAGTAGTGTGGACGGGTTGCTTGCGATTTGCCGAGCGCCGAACATTCGGTGCTCACCCTACCCAACACGTGTCGGTCTTCAGGACACATCAAAGGAAGCTAATATTCGCCGAACACATCAGCTGTTCGGGATTGGGCGAGCAATAGCTCGCTGCTCGGCGAATGCCGAATGTGTGGAGCCGCTTGATGGTTAGTGGGGAGAGAACAATGGAGCCGGTCCGTGGGTCAGCGTCGACGGGAGCCAACACAAAGCACGGGGCGACGGCGGCGGCGGTGTGAGGCGGAATTTGGCCGAGTGAGGTGATTCCGGAGGCGGTGGCGGCGGGGGCGACGGCGGCGCAGCTGCTCCGTTCTGAAAGTTTCAGCCACAACCGGCCCTGATGAGGAGAGATGTTGGGAATGCAAGGAACTCTCGAGACTTCGTGCCTTTTGAGGACGAGAACTAATTAACATTACCCGAACGTGCGCTTCTTCTGAGTTGGGCATTTGTCTCGAGTAAGAAGGAACTTTTTTTCATTTTCTGGGCGGTGCGAGCAAAGCCGCTCAAGAGGGCTACTCTTTCAGAGCTCGAATTGCAAAATAATGTGGAAATCCGGCGAATTAAGAGGCGATTATGCTCGTTTTATGTGACGTAACTTATTTTGATACTACAGTGCACAATGAAGTTTACTTATATAAGTACATCATATTTTATAATATTATTATCTACGGGGATGTAATAAAGACATTTTACACTAAATTAACTTATCTTCCTATAGGAACCTATCTTCCTACAGTGTATACACTTCCCACGTTCCTAGCAGTTCTTGAATTACTTCTCTGGGGATCTAAAAGTTTCATTCCTAAAATTTAAGACTAGTAATATTTAAATTTAAAAAAAAATGTAGTCCGACAATAACCAATTACTATCACTATAACAAAAAATATAATTTTAGACACATTTCTTATTGCTTCATTTTTATATTTAAAGAAACTTTAATATTAAGTTACCTTTATTTCCACTTGAAAATAGTTAAAATGAAATATAGAAGATTACTGCGAACATGTTCATTGCAGTACACTTTTTAATTCGCGGTTCCTTGTATTACTTCCTGCAATTTTGCGGGCCTTCCAAATTTGTATACCTCAGTTTAGGCACGCCTATGAGAAAAGCGTATAAAAGTATTAACAACAATAAAAATAATAAAGTATATGTAACACAAAATCAAACAGTCATCTGGTCTGTGTAGTTGGAATCAAAAACCAATTTGAGCTTCCCAGAATATAAAGAAATTCGTTTCATTCAGTAAGTGCCAGAACACTCCTTCGGTCGTCAAATATTACTTGGTTTCTCAGATAGTCTAAAGTGCTTTTTCGATTTTCCTTTGCATTATTTCGAACAAAAAGAAGAAAATACAACGTATAACACAAATATCAATAAACCTCACCACTAATAGGATTTCTTCCCTTTCGAGAAACAATTACACTCGGCGGAACATTTCCGCCAGTGCACCGGGAACATCCATCACCGGAAGAAACGAAATTAAGTCGGGCCCGCTCACGCCGCAGAGCCCTCGCGGGCGGAAAGCAACGCCTCGGCCGGCGCTCCCCGCAATTACTCCTTGCCAGCGCCACGGCAACGCAGCGGCGCGGCTCGGCGGCGTCGACTCAACTGGACGGGGGCCGCCACGGACCATACATAACACGGCTAACACAATTACACAGCCGTGTCCTGTCACCCCGGCTGCCGCCGCCGCCGCCGCCTCCCTAACCGCGGGAAACGAAGTTATCGTAATGGTGGCAGCCCTCCTCATCAAGCGTCAACTGTTCGCCGGCACAGTCACGTGAGCGGCAAGGGGGTTCCCCGCCCGCCGCCACCTTCGCGGAAGGAGATGGGGAGGCGACGAGGTGTAAATTAAATGGAGCACCCCTCCGAGAGGAAGCACTGCCTCGGAGCAGCAACAATGCGGGAGGGGAGATGGTTGGGGGGGGGGCGCCAGCGATTGCTTACCGCGCTAGCAGGTACACTCGCGAGCGCGTACGGTAGCTCCTCAGGGCACCTTCCTCGCCTGCGGGAGACAGGCGATGCTCAGCAACAAGGATGTGAAAGTAAATAAATGTTGCAAACCATGTTACAAAATGAAAATATAAATTTGTTCGAGTTGTGTGAAGTCGTGAAAAGAGAGAATTGAGGGATGTAGCGCCGGTTACCACGATCGCGGGTTGGTTAGGGAGAGAGTTCGCTAACGAATGGACACATTAAGGTAGACCGGGAATGTAATGTGACATTTTGGTTTTAAAACTCAAAGAGTAGCGTATTCACGGTATTGGAAGTTTGGCGAAATTTTGATAAGGTACTCCAAGCAAAAAAGGTACTCCAGCAAAAATTATTCAGTTGTTTTTATAAAAAAAAAAAAGGAAGATACCCCCGGAAGTGGAGAAGGTAACATTTGCCGATTGATTCTATAGCGACATTCGGTGAGTGGCAATATAGTTGCAACTGAAATTATAGCCATTCAAACGATCGCGGCATTCTCGAATGCACACGCTATTGCGGCAACAGATTCGTAACAATTCATATTGCACTTTGACCTATTTTGGCCGAACCGTGGAGTAGCGGCCGGACCGCTCGCTTTGCACTTCCGAGACTGGGGTTCAATTCCTGGTGGAACCCTGTGGAAATTTTGGTGACCTACCCATGCAGTTTTTTTCAAGGCTCTCTCGTTTCCCCAGTATTTCCACCAGTGCTCCATCATCATTCACATGCTTTTTTTCAAAATCACGTGTCCATGATATAATTAATTCCAGGTATGACGAAAATGTTTAGACATGGCTTCATAACAATAATAATAAAAAAGTATTTCTCTAGATAATTCCAGAAACAATGTTTTGACAGTTGTTAACTACTGTCGCAATATACCGCACCGTCTTCCCTTCAGAATGGTTAATATACTATTTTAAAAGAACCCTTTTACGCCTATATATTAGTAATAACTGCTTCTTTACGAGAATTAAAAGGATTGTGAACTTTTATCTTTATGTTGGAAAGTTAACTGTTATAGAAGTTTTTGCACTTTCAAAAATGCAGAGGATATACTATGCTTGCTTCAAAAAGAAGTGGGGGCGTATTAATTTTGTTACACAGGAACTACAGTTTATTTAATATTAAAATTGGCTTCAAAGGCAAAAATAGATCCACTTGTTAGCTTATTAAGATATTACTTTGCAGCCTCGCATTCCACTGCATTCGCCTTTTAGCGAACCAGCACACCGGAACACGACTATAGAAGTTCGGATCCCCAGGAGCTTCGTGTAATACAATATAAACGAGCGTAACAAGCTGTTTGGTGCGAAACGTGCGGTCTAATTAACTGCGTGGGAGCGAGGGCGTGGACTGCGTACGGCGCAGGCGGCGAGGGAGGAAGATGTGGCAGGGAACGTAGAGGTGGCAGAAGAGAGAAGGGAGGGTCTGGGGTTGTTGTTGGCGAGGGCGTTGGGAAAGGTTCGGGACCCCAGAAGCGGCGGGGTCTGTTTGGGACAACAGGGCAGGGACGTTGGGAACGGCAATGGCGGAAGTGGCGGCAACGACAGTGAGAGTGGAGGAGTGGAAGGGGGTGGCGTGAGCGGTAGGGGAGGTATGGGAGAGACAGAGGTGGCGGAGGTTGTCAAGGAGGCGAAAGACCGTTTTGGCGAGGGCGGCGGGAACGGTTCTGCGGGTGACAGGCGATGGATGGCGTTGCGTACACGGGGACGGGCGCTGGGGACGGCAGAGGCGCAACAGCGGTGGGATGTGAGCTGTGCTGGAAAGGGAACGGGGGTGAGCTAGCGGAAGTGGGGTGGCGTGGAAGTTGGGGTGGTGGAAGGTTGCGGGTGGAGTGAAAAGTTAGGATGGCGGTGAAAAGGTGAGTGTGACGTGAAAGGTGGGGGGTGGCGTGAAAGGCAGGGGTGGCAGGATGGCATGAGCGGCGGAGATGGGAGGGGGGCGCAGCCTGAGGAGCCGTTAACTGTGCTCTTGGGGCAAGGAAGGTCGCGAGTTCAACGCATTCCTCATCTTTCCCACCTGAAGCCCGAGCAGCTGCCTCCCACGTTCGGGGAAAGGGAGTTTCGCGGACGAGGCAGTTCCCGACTGATAGTCTGTTCGTATAGGGCTAGTCCAGTCGGGCTATCGGCGACTCTTAACGGGTTCGGTTCTTTTCTCACGATACCGAACTAAGCTCAGAATGGACATTATTGTTCCTCGACCTCTTGCTTTATACGAGTAACGACAGATTACAATAGTGGCCCCATTTTATTAATTCGGTAAACAAGTCTATAGAATAAACGTACCTATTTTTACGATTACTAGTCACTATTTTAGATGTCGCCGTTAAATGATTAGTTTGATGTTACTCTTACTACAACTGCCCTATATGCCCCTGTTCTATATGCGTATTGAAACTAATGACTTAAACAATAGACTCCACACGGGAAGAAGTCCATAGGTATGAAACTGGCGAAAAATTATAAAGTTTAAATTCCAAAGAAGATCACAAACCCTTCCGAGTCAGTTGCAAAACTTCAAAAGAATACGATTATGTCCGGTGTTGTGATCATCTGCCTATCCAAGGTATCTTGTTCGTTACTAAGTAGAATTAACATAATTTTTTATTGTAATTCAACTTTTTAAAAGTTTAGTGGTGAAGGATCAAATTCGCTGCTCATTCTCTGCGTGTCCCTCCTAGCTATCTGCACCCTCCAGACAGAATGCACCTCAAGATCATTGCATCAATGCATCAATGCATTCTCAAAATCGTACGCTGCCGTATAACACCCTTCAACTCAGCTGAGAATGTCATCAAAGCAGGAAGTCCACAGAGCTAATTATTATTATTATTATTATTATTATTATTATTATTATTATATTATTATTATTATTATATTATTAGTATTATTATTATATTATTAGTATTATTATTATATTATTATATTATTATATTAGTATTATTATTATTATTTTAATGGTGAACTGATCATCCTTGGACCAGGTGAACGCGCCACTCACACCCACCAAGGCTCAGTCATATTCTCCCGGGAGCAAGTGCACGTGACCGACACATTAGCTCTCATAAGCCGAATCCATTTTTCCACCCCAGGGTCCTTAGCTCTGGAGGTATAAAGTTTAGATGAAGGATGTGTGGACATTCATAAACACACAATCGTACTCGAGGTGGAATTCATGATCCTTCGGTCCAAGACAGCTACGACATCGCCTTAGCGACCTCGGCTACCCGGATAGGCAGATTATTATTATTATCATTATTATTATTATTACTATTATTATTATTAATTTAACTGTTATAGAAGTTTTGCACTTTCAAAAATGCAGAGGATATACTATGCTTGCTTCCAAAAGAAGTGGGGCGTATTAATTTTGTTACACAGGAACTACAGTTTATTTAATATTAAAATTGGCTTCAAAGGCAAAAATATATCCACTTGTTAGCTTATTAAGATATTACTTTGCAGCCTCACATTCCACTGCATTCGCTTTTAGCCGAACCAGCACACCGGAACAACGACTAATAGAAGTTCGGATCCCCAGGAGCTTCGTGTAATACAATATAAACGAGCGTAACAAGCTGTTTTGTGCGAAACGTGCGGTCTAATTAACTGCGGTGGGAGCAGGCGTGGACTGCGTACGGCGCAGGCGGCGAGGCGAGGAAGATGTGCAGGGAACGTAAGAGTGGCAGAAGAGAGAAGGGAGGGTCTGGGGTTGTTGTTGGCGAGCGGCGTTGGGAAAGGTTCGGGACCCAGAAAGCGGCGGGTCTGTTTGGGACAACAGGGCAGGACGTTGGGAACGGCAAATGGCGGAGGCGGCGGCA